ACACACACACTCTCTCACTCTCACACACACACACACACACAGACTCTCTCTCTCTCACACACACACACACACACACTACTCCCATGTAGTTAAACATTTAGTTACATTTAAAAGATATTATTTGTTACTACAATGACACTCCTATTGGTTATTGGACACCTCCTATCTTATTATTTACGTTGTATTTTAAAATTGTTTATTTATTTTTTCCTATGTATTCATTCATTACTACTTTTACTTTTTAAAAATTGTTTATTTAAAATTGTATTTTTTAATTTTTTTGTTTTCATTAGTCATTTACTAAAGCAATAAGCCCCGTGAAACCGTGGTTTACGGTGAATTTATAACAGCTAAGGGGTTAGCTGTTATAAATTCACTGTAAACCACGGCATCACGGGGCTTATTGCTTTTATAAAACGGTTACTCCATATACGTAGTAAGGTTTCACAAAATAAAACAGAGCAAATAAAGTGTAATGATATTAATAAAAACAGTATTCTTCCACCAAACAATGTAGTTCCTCAGAAACAGTTGTGGTTGCTACAAAGTGGTTGCCGAGCAACACACAAACGTAAACAAAGGTGTATGTTACTTTGTAGAGTCATTTACAACAGCTTCGAACGCGGCTCAGCCAATCAGAATTAAGCACCGGAACTCTCCGCTTTATAATACTACTTTTTTTTAAAATGATAATTATCTGAAATTGTATTGATTTTATGCTCGATGTTTCTTTAATAAGGAGCTGGTTTGTGAGCGAAGCTCATACATTCATCAAACGCAGGCTGGATCATTTACAAAGGCAGCATAAAATTGTGGATTTTCGGCCTGCGTAATCTTTAGACAGATAAACAAATTACGGCAGGGGCCGGGGCCGCGCTTGACTGGCTCTTCATTACGTTACCGTGGACCTTTGGCGTGTTAGGGCTCGGCGAGCAGAAAATAACACGACGCGGAGCTAACAGAGCGCAGCATGATAGATGAGGCTGTTTACACAATCTGCCTCGTCTCACACAGCGCTTCTCGCAGAACACAAACCGTGAGCGCATCTCCATTAACTACTGGCCTCAGCAACATCACTAGCACTACTAGAGCTCAAACACTAACTAGAACTCAATTTAAGAGCATGTGAAGAAAACCTAACACAATGCTCTCAAAATGTTGAAAACATCAGTGCAATACGTTGATTTTCTTTATTTACTGTGTTTCTGTGGATCCTAAAAAGGTCTTAAAAAGTGCAAATGTCAATATATTTGCAATGCTTCAATACTTCATAATTCATTTTACAAACAAAATAGGCTTGAATAGCTGTTCTGAGCCACTTGAATACAGGAAAAACGTATTGATCATGATTTTCTTACTTAGTATTTTTTGTCTTGTTTTCTAATATCTAAACATTCTTGAATTGGGATGCATTTATTTGACAAGTTAAACGATTTAAGATATTAAGTCTTGTTTTCTAAAAAAAAAAAAAAAAAAAAAAATGTTGTTTTGATTTGAAACAAGCAAAAATATCTGCCAGTGGGGTAAGAAAAATAATCTTAATTCAAAGCTAAACAAGATGATTTTTCTTGCTCCACTGGCAGATATTTAGCCAAAACTAACAAAAGTTAGATTTTTTTTTTCAGAAAACAAGACGTAATATCTCAAGTCATTTTTCTTGTAAAGTAAATTAATCTCTATTGAAGAATTTGTATATATTTATACTAGAAAACAAGACAAAAATACAGCAGTGTGCAAAAAAAGTGACGCTCTTCCTCAAGATTTGTGTTGTTTTTCAATGCAAATGTCTAAAGATTCTTAAATTAAGATACATAAGATACATTTACTTGAGATATGAAATGACAGAAGATATGAGTCTATGATTAAAAACAAAAACTTAATTAAAAATGAAACAAGTTTTCATTTCCCACTGGCAGATATTTGTTCTGGTTTTAATCATAAACTCACTTCATTTAGTTGATTTTTTCACAAAACAATGAGACTTTGTATCTTCATTTGTATCTCCAGTAAATGTATCTTGATTTAAGGATGTTCAGATGTTTGTGCTGGAATATGAAACACAAATACTGCTGTTCATGCAACATTTTAATGCTTTCTGCTCTAAATTAAGATATTTTTAAGGCCTTAATTTGTGGAAGAGTGAATTAGGAATTTTTAAGACCTTTTTAGGATCCACAGAAACCCAGTAAATAAATAAACATCAACATATTGCACTGGCGTTTTCTTTCTTTCTGTCCATATATATATATATTTATAAATGAAGCAAAAGACACAAAGCACTCCTGAAACCTAAAAATAAAGAGCTGAAGAAAAGGACCGTAACATAAGAAACCATTTCTATATTTCAGGACACTGGATTTCTGGACTTCAGTTTAGTTTAATCAAGAAGAAAAGCAGCAGAGATCAGATTTAAATCAAACAGTGAACATTTATGAAGCATGCACTGCATTTTTTTTTTTATTTCATAACGTTCACTTATAATTCCAATAAGATTTTGACATCACAAACCGTCATAATTTAGAAATAAATCTCAATTTTCCAGCCTGATTTAGACAGTTCATTTAAGGGGCGTGTCTCCTTTAAGACACATGAACGCCCCCTGCTGTGATTGGCTAATATATTTGCATATGAAATAAGCTTTAATTATGTGGAACTGTGAGAATAATGGAAAATGTGGATTACAGTATTATATATCAATGCAGTCCATCAGATGTGGTTTTGAATGCAGCATTTATTTCTACAGCGCTTTATATAATACAGATTGTTTCAAAGCAGCTTCACTGGAAAATAACAGTGTTAATGCTATAAAATGCATCAATTAATAAATAAACTCAGTTTCAGCTGTAAAGAAGCTCTCTCTTTGTTATCATGAAGAAATGTCATTTCTCAATGCATCAGATTAATATCACTCACGCTCACAATCTGACAGAAACAATGAAGCGTTCGTGGTTTAATCATCTCACCTTTACGAGCAGGTCTTTGGCCGAGGCGGACATGAGGATCCGGTCACACCAGGCGGGACATCGAGTGTTCATGTACTGCTTTCCCTGACTGGAGTCTTCACTGTACGGATAACTGCACAAACACACACCACAAGCTGAATAAATCAGCTTTCCATTGATGTATGGTTTGTTATGATAGAACAATATTTGGCCGAGATACAACTATTTGAAAATCTGGAATCTGAGGGTGCAAAAAAATCTAAATATTGAGAAAATCATCTTTAAAGTTGTTCAAATGAAGTTCTTAGCAATGCATATTACTAATCTGAAAGAACTGGTTGTGATTGGTCAGTGCTGTCAATCTGTGCTCTATAATCACTGAATTATAAATGCATTTTAACTTCGCAGTGTAAAACAGGCAGAGCAGTCTCGTAAAACACAGGACCAATCAGCAGCGGATCTGATTTATATTTCTGAGGCTCTGAGGAGCAGATGGTACATGATACAGACACAAAGGACATCAGATCGAGGCGTCCAGATAACAGCACTATGATGTTAATGATGGACTTCCTACATGTGACACTGTGAGATCACAATCAGACCGTGAATGAAGTGTGTGCATTTATGGAGTCTATTGTGTCCTATCATAACAAAAACTAAAACCAGCAGCAGAAATCACTCGGTTTATCTCACTAAAACAGCTCAGGTTCACTCTGCACATCAGAACTACATTTGTTTTTATTTTGCATTCTGAAAATGAAGCTTATTTTCATTAAGATTTTGTGATTGTGATGATGATTTATGAAATTTTTTCATGACAATTAATCACATTTCCCCCTGAAATATTTTTACAACAGTGCATTGTAAAAAAAAAAAAAAATTTAATGAAAATAATCTTGTCCAGACATTTACTATTATTATTATTTAATCTACATAAAATAAATGAAATACAACAAAACGGTGATGAATACTTTTAATTGTGTTTTAAAATGTACATTGAATAATATAATTTAAATATATATTATCCAAATAATATATTATTTTCTTCACATCGAGATGTTTTTGCAAAAACTATTATTTCTAATTTTAATAGTGTTTTAAAATGTACTTTAAATAATATAATTTACACACACACACACACAGGTTTGTTTTTGTGAAAAGTGGGGACTCTCCATAGGCGTAATGGTTTTTCTACTGTACAGACCGTATATTCTATTGCCCTACACCAACCCTACCCCTAAACCTACCCCTCACAGGAAACTTTCTACATTTTTACTTTCTCAAAAAAACTCACTCTGTATGATTTATAAGCCTTTTGAAAAGTGGGGACATGGGGTAATGTCCTCATAAGTCACCTTCTCCTTGTAATACCTATGTCATACCCATGTCATTATACAAATGTGTGTCCTCATATGTCACAAAAACACACGCGCACACACACACTCTCTCACACTCACACACACACACACAGGCTCCGCTCAATTGGCCGTGAAAGCGGCTCATCATGATCGGCTCATTTAGTGGAATCAGCTAATCAAACACCATCAGCATCGGCCGCTTCTGCGACCAACCGTCGCCATGACGACCGGGTCAAGGGTCGAACGGGCCGGTTAGCGAGGGTTAAAGAGGGGAGGGGGACTAGTTAACCCACATCCGGCTAACACACAGGCCCCCGACCGAGTGGCCAAACAAGAGCCGCGAGGAGCCTTTGCAGAACGCCTGAGCGCAATTAGCATTGATGGCTCTTTAAGCATGTGGAAATGAAGGGCAGTTTTGGTATGCTAACGATAGATGAGTCTGAAGATGAAAGACAGGAGGAAGAATGATAGCGGAGGATAGAGAGCAGGATAATGAGGGATAGAGATGCAGAGTGTGGGAATTAAGGGGCGGGAGAAGCTCTTTCTTCAGGGTGGCCCACACAAACCCTAGAGGAAGTTTTAGCTGCGCTCCTTCAGCTGGATTAAACACATCTGATCTGCTAAAGAGCCGAGCCAATCTTTGAAATCGATCCATGATGCTCGGCGGCAGGAGGAAGGAGTCTGTATCCAGAGCAAACCAGCCTTCACACTCAACACTCACAGATTCATATTCTCTGTTCAAACCGGATTCAGACACTCTACATATAACAAGTTTAAAGTTTCTTCTGCTCACCAAGGCTGTATTTATTTGATCATGAACACTGTAAAAATTGTGAAATATTTTTACAATTTAAAATAGCTGTTTTCTATATGAATTGCAAGATAAAAACTTGGAATTGTGAGATATAAAGTCGGAATTGTGAGATATAAAATCGGAATTGCAAGATAAAAACTTGGAATTGTGAGATATAAAATCGGAATTGCAAGATAAAAACTTGGAATTGCGAGATATAAAGTCGGAATTGTGAGATATAAAGTCGGAATTGTGAGATATAAAGTCGGAATTGCAAGATTAAAAGTCGGAATTGTGAGATATAAAGTCGGAATTGTGAGATTAAAAATTGGAATTGCAAGATTAAAGGTTGGAATTGTGAGATATAAAGTTGCAATTTCCCGTTAAATTTTTTTATCCCATGGCGGAAATGGCTTCCATAGGAAACAAATTTCAGTAATTAGAGTGAACTATTTTAGTGATACTCTTCAGTACTGAATGAAATACATTTCAAATCCACATTAGTTTTGACTCATAGGATCTCATTGCAATGTATTCTGGGATTGTGTTATCTGCTGTATTTGGCCAAAACAAGTCATCTTAGATCGGTCTTCACATCAGTGATGACTTATAATGCTGTGTAGGCAGGAACAGAGCGACTGTCACTGCTCACACGAGGAGTTCACACACACACACACACACACACACACACACAGCTAATGCAACAGCAAACAGCGGCGCGGAGCCACAGGGCGGTGATTAATGCTGTCGATTAGCGCGTACAAACTTATCTGGCAGAGTACACGCTGCTGCTGGGTGTGTGAACCGGAGACCGGCAGACACTATCACACTCCTGCCAAGACTAATTACACTAATTAATGGGGCTGCGCTGATAAACTCAACAATTGCCCACCTGTGTGTCTTACAGTGAGATTCTCACACTAGTTTAACAATTCAACTAGCACAGCAATAACATTAAAAACATTTACTCACAATCATGTTGTTTCAAACCTGTGTGACTTTCTTTCTTCTGTGAAACACTAGATGAACATCCTGCCAGGTTTATTTTAGTATTTACCAGTAGAGTATTTTTATTTTTAGTATTTAATGTACTATTACAGCACTTAAACATTTTTTGATTTAGCTTTTATTTTTTAATTTACATTTTCATTTTAATTGTAATTGTAAGATTTTTATAATTTAAAAAAAAATTCTATTTAGCCTATTTTCTTTTTCTGTTTTAGTTTTTGTAATTGTACTACTTCAACCTATTTCAGTTAGTTGCCACCAAGACAATATTTCTAATTTTCACTTAAGATTTTTAAGTTCAAGCTAATATTCTATTCCTATAAACAGAATATTATACATTTTTGTCATTATAATACTTTAACTTAATTCATTTAGTTGCCAAGGCAAATTTCTAGATTTTTAGTTTGAAGCTTTTCTAATGTTCTATTTCTATAAATAATAGAAAATAATATAGAAATATTCTATTTAAGTTTCTATAAATCTAATATTTACATTTAATTTTATTTCGGTTAACAAAAAATATTTTTCATTATATTGGTTAACAATAACAACTCTGTACTGCTAAGTATCATATTTTGTGTTTCACAGGAGTCCTGCTGGTTTGAATGACATGATGGTGAGTAAATGACCATTATTTATGGGTGAACTGTCTCTTTAAGCCGTGCTCTCGATCATGTGACCCATCCTAGCGCCGCTGTGGCCGTGTCCCACATCACGCGCAGTTATCTTGTTCTACATGATGACAAATAAGTGCCAAGCCAAACACTGATTCATTGAGACGCCTGGTTTAATGAGGGCCGTATAAACTCTGAACACAAAGAGACTGATAAGAGACACGCTATTAATGAGAGGACAGAGGTCACATGACGCACTACAGCACAGAATCACGGGATTGGACAGAACCGGAGCCGTCAATCAAACGTAGAGTTACAGGAAGAGGTTGTGTGTGTGTGTGAGAATGCATGCATGTGTGTGTGTGTGTGTGTGTGAGTGTGAATGCATGTGTATGTGTGTGTGTGTGTGTGTGTGTGAATGCATGTGTATGTATGTGTGTGTGTGTGTGTGTGAATGCATGTGTATGTGTGTGTGTGTGTGTGTGTGTGAATGCATGTGTATGTGTGTGTGTGTGTGTGTGTGTGAATGCATGTGTATGTGTGTGTGTGAGTGTGTGTGAGTGAATGCA